TAGAGCCAGAGGAGGAATTTATCGAAAAGGATATACTTTGCTCAAATATTTCGTGTTTCATAGATGTTTGAATGAATAGTTTTGCTATATTGAGGGATATGAGTTGATGAGTCAACAATTAGGACGACTTCTGTTGGGAAATAATTTTCAAGCTAACTAAGTATTCGGATATATCGTGTTTTGAAAACTCATTATTGTCTTACTTATCCTTCCTAGTATTACGATATTGTCTTCCACAGTGGATATTTATCTGGAGGTAGTTGTATAAACATTCCTCTCTGGAAGACATGGATTTGATGATGGATGATAGACTGGAGTGTTTGATAACTGACCCATCATAATACTTTCGAAAATCCACTGATCATGACTGGCGACTGAGTAGTCATTTTGTGAAGTGAGAAAGCTGAAAGTGAGAGTGCTGTGAGATGGGAGTAATAAGTGGTTTCAGGGTGATCACAGCAATCCACGGTTAATTGTTTAATTTCCGACTGGGTTTGCAGGCGATTAAATAGGGTTGTGAAATTGCTTCACCTACAGTTGCGGACTAAATGGATGGAGGATACTCTCGAACGTACCTGTGTGTATCTCATCAACGAAATCTTCAAAACTCACGTCATTTTTATCCATAAACATTTCTGTGTTACAAGTGGATCCACGAGGTAATTGGTCAAAATTCCAGTCAAGTCTCACAGTGGAATATTCTTCCTACTTACCGATACTGCACAAAATACATCTCTCAAAAGAGTTTCACTATGTTGTATGCTGAATACTAACTAGTGATCAGGTAACATCGACCAACTAGGAGGGAAATGAATGTCTCAGTGCGATTCTATCTATTTCATCTATTGCTGTGAAGCCACCGAAATAAATATTTCGAACATATTGAAAGACCGAATGAGAACTTTTCAAGAGTTGATTTGTAAGGAATATGTTTGTATTTCGAGTTTGACCAGGGATTGATATCAGTTAGAATGAGACGTTATGCACTATGAGGAAGTTTGATGAATTTAAAGCTAGCCAAGTGACTGGATTTATTCGTCGGAGATGACTGGGGTCATTATGTAAAATGGTGACTCGCTATACTTACTTACTTAGGCTGAATTACATATCTCCACAAACAGAGAGTGAAAATATATGCTAGACTGCTGACTCATAACAGTTACATATTGTTCGAAGGATTTCGCTGTGTTATTGGAACCTCTCACCTTGTCTTACTGCATTCACAGAACTGGTTTGATTGTTATGTGCACTTCTGTACTCTAACTATTTCACAGTTTGAAGGAGAGAAAAGGGATATCTGTGTGAAGACAGGAATTCGGATTTTCGTGTCTAGAGCATGAGTAAATCCTGTTAATTATTTTATCGGTGCTGGTGGACTATGTGTAGATATATTCGCTGACAAGTCTTTTATTTCAGTGATAGTTTTCCGACATAATTCGTGTTCACTTGTTTAATTGATGAAGATAATCCAGAAGACTAATCTCATTTAGAGTTGACGTCAGAGGCTGACTACTCACAGGAAGCAGGCTAGAGCGCTTCGTCTTGTATTTACGCCTAGATATGCAGTATTTGTCGAATTATCATCGAAGAAATAATTCTGTTTTTTGTGTCACCTATTCAAGAATCACGTGTGTCCAGGTTGGACGCTGATATTTTTATATATATATGTACATATATTATCGCTTTTAAATTTTAAGCTAGCAACTGTTCCTACTACAATTTTATGTGATCACCTTGATATGATTATGAGCAATAAATTGTACTCAACATGTCATGAGTCAGTGATACGCCTAAACTGTATTTAATCAAATCAAACCAGTCTCTGACGTATTTGTACTCCAGTATGGGGCATTACTTCTGTTCTGATTCTCAAATCACTTCTACCAAATTATCTATCTATCTAAAATTGAGTTAAAATTGAATTGCAAAATATACTCGCGACAATTTTAATGTTATTAAGGCGAACAACATGACTCATCCAGCAAAATTCTCCGACCGATATGGTGTTTTTAAATTTTAATTTTTCCATGTGACTTATTTGTCGTAGATTTCACCTGACTACAGACCAAATTATTCACCACACCCATACATTAGTCTTAGTGAACTTTGACCTACTTTCAACATGCATACATTTGCATTCAGAGTATGAAAAATGCAGTTGTGATGTGAATTACTCACCCCTAGATGAGCAAAGTGATCTGTATTGGTAACTACTTCTGAAAACTGCACTGTTTTTATTTTTTTGTTTATATGTGAGATATTGTTAGCCGAAAGAGGTCAAAGGTAACTGTCACTTAGTAAGGAAGATAAATCAATGTCTGAAAAATAGTGGATAAGCCTGCGTAATTGAGGAAGTCGATGAATAATTAGTTAAGTGATGGAAGTTCACTTGGAAATAATCGATAGGAAAGAAGAACATCGAGAATTGAGAGTGTGAAGAAATATTTCAAAATTATGACATACGATTTTCAATAAATAGTTTGTAGAGATTTGATTTGTTTCAATGGAATTTGACAATGAATTGATATCAGTTAGTGAAGCATTTCAAACCGCGGAGTACTAAAGGGCTGTTTCCTCCTAACTCGGGACTCATCACAGTGTGCATCCCACTGATATCAGTTTGTGGTCAAACTTGAAACATACGGTCTATCATGCACATACAACAAGTAAGGAAACTGACAGAGACACTGAGGCCATATTGGTGAAAGAGGCTGAGAACAAATTCCAGGCCTTTTCCTATGCATTACAAGAGCTTTACGTGCATGAAGATGTGAGCGAAATGCCTTGCACCGACTTGGCCAACCAAACATTATATATGACTCTGATTGATGTCTGTGATGATGGTGCATAACCAATAATAGTATTATTTATTGTCTAGAACTGAGTTATTCTTAGTTCACATAATAAATATATTTTCTTCCGACTAATTTTGAATAATTTTTATTAAGAGAATTAATAAATATTGAAGTTCCACTATTCCCATACAGTTTCCATAGTATTAGTCTCCTTGGAAGAATTATTTTATTTCCGTTGGTAATCTGAGGAATTTGTTAAGTACACGTATGGTTATATCACAAAAGCTTGGATGAGGAGAATTGCTGATTAGCGAAGTGATTCATTTTGAGGAATATTTGGGAATGACAAAAATTGAATCCCGTAGCCTTACAGAACGAGTCTCGCTCAAATTCTTTCTCCGGGAATTCTTAATGTGCTCAATGTTGATACAAATAACGTCATAGTTTATATAACCATTTAATATCAGCCTCACTCAGTTTTCCTTCCTCTAAATTAATGATCACTGATTCCACGGACTGGTGTTTATTCATTTCGATTTGATGTGTTCCATGGTGATTCAGTCAACAGAGGTTCACTGGATAAGTTGTGCCATTCTATCTATTTCATCTATTGCTGTGAAGCCACCAAAATAAATATTTCGAACATATTGAAAGACCGAATGAGAACTTTTCAAGAGTTGATTTGTAAGGAATATGTTTGTATTTCGAGTTTGACCAGGGATTGATATCAGTTAGAGTGAGACGTTATGCACTATGAAGAAGTTTGATGAATCTAAAGCTAGCCAAGTGACTGGATTTATTCGTCGTAGATGACTGGGGTCATTATGTAAAATGGTGACTCGCTATACTTACTTAGGCTGAATTACATATCTCCACAAACAGAGAGTGAAAATATATGCTAGACTGCTGACTCATAACAGTTACATATTGTTCGAAGGATTTCGCTGTGTTATTGGAACCTCTCACCTTGTCTTACTGCATTCACAGAACTGGTTTGATTGTTATGTGCACTTCTGTACTCTAACTATTTCACAGTTTGAAGGAGAGAAAAGGGATATCTGTGTGAAGACAGGAATTCGGATTTTCGTGTCTACAGTGTTGAATGTTTTTCTAGAGCATGAGTAAATCCTGTTAATTATTTTATCGGTGCTGGTGGACTATGTGTAGATATATTCGCTGACAAGTCTTTTATTTCAGTGATAGTTTTCCGACATAATTCGTGTTCACTTGTTTAATTGATGAAGATTATCCAGAAGACTAATCTCATTTAGAGTTGACGTCAGAGGCTGACTACTTTGGACATTCTCCTCGCTTATTTGTGGTTAACCAGCCTCTTGTAATATCTTCGAATTTCTTTTGATGGTGACGGAATACGTTCTCGTCATTTTGCAAGTTAGGACTAATTCAATCATGCGAATTGATGTCTTAAATATCCTATTCTCTTTTTTCTGTAAATGAGCACTATATTTTGTTTTCATCTCTTAGCGCGTAACCCTCGCTTCTCAAATTTGATAAGCTTGCTCAGATTGCAGTCTGATTGGCTATGCTTTTATGGATAGGGGGACTTTCCTCACTGTCCATTTGTTTATGCGATAAATGTTATTATCCGATAGTTATCGAAAATGCGTAAAATCTGAAAGGAGTGAAAATTCGGGTATTCAATTTCTCGTGGTTTCCCTACACTTCTTTCAAATTAATAATCCTCGTTTATTATATTTCTCAGGTACCCCAACACAGCTGGATTCCATGTCGCTTACTCCTGTGAAGATAAAAGAAATAATGCAAATAGCATATTGTCTACCGCCACAGAAGCTGTTGAAAATCTTGTTACTTGCAACTTAACAATAAGCCTTCCCAATCTTTCTAGTTGGATTCCTAGCGTAAAACCATTTAATACTAAAAGTGATTCTGACCGAATTCTGTCTTCTTTTTTAAAAGTCAGGCCATATTTATTTTTGGATGATATGGCATTGAATCTGAAGTACTTTTCTGATGTCGAAAATGAGTATGGTGCATTGAACATATCGCTGCCTGAGGTAAAACGAGGAAGCTTAAAGAAGGCGGGAAACGATTCAGATTGGCAGCTGAACCTCTACGAATACATGCCATGTGGTCATCCTAAGAAAGGGTTGATCGATATAGTAGACTCATCAGAAACAAAGCCTCCAGTTGACAGCTGCCTTCTCTCGGGAAGCTTGTTATGGCCTGATAATTTTGTAGATACTGGAGCCAAATACTCAACTTCAAGCGAACTCCAATCCACACCGATTCATGGCACCACTACAACAAGTACAAGTAACAATTTCAAATTTTCTACGGCCTCTATATACTCACTAACTCATGAAACTCCAGTGATCGCTGAAGGCCTATCGAGGTACAGTCAAAGGGACCTTTCTTCCATGCGGAATCATGCACTTACAACCTTTAAGGGATGCCTACAAAAATCCGACAGGATGACTAAGGTTCAAGGATTTCAATGGCCAAAACTTTGCACTTTACAGAGCTCAGCTCAGCGCGAAAATAAGGAATTACTCAGTCATAAAAGTAACCAACAGGAAGTGGTGACAAAGACTTATATTCCTCTGTCTAACCTCAGTGTGGATACAAGGTCCCAAAGTCGCATTTTACTCCCCTATCCAACTCTTTCTATCAATGCTAATGTGGATTCGTTGAATGATATGGCTGCCCAGTCTTGTACATCAAGTTATGGGATACAGAGAAAAGGAGACTATAATTCAAGTCTTCATCAAAATCATCATATAAATGGAAGACATGTATTAACGACATGGGATTCAAGTGGTAAGTTCCATGGAAGATAATTTGTCCTGATCAAATAAGTGTCTGACTTCCTGTTTTGTAGTAATCCTTTCTGACAGACACAGACACACACACACTTACCGAAGAGCCTGATAGTTGAATTAGCAAATCAGTTCTGGAAACAGCTTTTATGTAGGACAACTTGTTGATTCAACTGACTGCTTGATCAGTCAGTCACCTAGATTTCCGAGAAGGTATCTTGAAATAAGTTTCGGTGGCTCTAAATTCTTTACTGTATCAACACCGAGGGAGTAAAATAAGCAGTATTATGATGAAAAAGAGATCAAGCAATATAATACTGTGTGAAAATCTTCGATAATGTATATATATAACTGTAGAGCCTGATGATGAATTTATCGAAAAGAGTACCCTTTGTTCAGTATCCATTCTTCTGATAATTTAATTCAGCTTATGAGAGCCAAGTAGCATTCGTGTGCTGTCAGTTACTCCTGAACTGGGTAAATTGTTGATCAGTTTCTGCATGATAAGCACAGTGAAGACGACGAAGAACAATCTTCATCATGTAGTAAAACCATAAGTGACTTCTGCATGAGGAATCGTTCACAACCACATAAGTCAACTGATTTCACTACACTTTTGTTAGAAATCCATGTCAGTTAAGCGACCACATAAAACTATCATGCTCTGTTAAGCTTTCTAGTTCTAAGTTTGAAATGCTTACCAACATATAGCTATGAACGCTACCCGTGGGATATACGGTTCTACCGAGGTTAACAGGGGGTTGATTTCCCAATGACACTCGAGCGAAAACTCATGAGAGGTCTCTAACATGAAAGTAACAGTGTCCGGTTCTCCCGGATTTCCAATATTTATTGAGTCAGCACTATTTTATCACACAAACTCCACGTATTTTAGTCTTTAGGGATGACGATTAACACGGATAAATTGAAACTAAGCTTGGTTTTATTAGGCTGTATTTCCTACCAATTATGACTTTTATACGAGATGCACTTTGTATATTCTGTGGAGAGACAGCTGTTTCAATGTACTATAACTTTGTCTATGCTTCTAATCTATGTTGAAATTAACGAGATATTCCGTAATCCAGTAATGCTATGACTCCACATATTTGAGTCGAATGAAGTATACTACTTTGCAAATTTTAAGTAGGCCAACAGTTTTACACAATTATGAATGTGGGCTGAACGATGGTGGTAAAGACCTTTTATCATTTGTGTTTTAAGCTATCAGAAGTAAATACACAGTTTTAACTCTAACATATCAGTCCTAATGTCTACCTTGCATTCTTTATATTAGCTGTTACGCAGGTTGTGGACGCAGCGAGAATTAGGAACACCAGTATCCCGGTAAGTGTACAGTTTTGAGATGATTATGTGCATAGGAATGTTTCAGATTAACTTGTGATCTTTTTAAAAATGGCAAAAACACATTTCCTCAGTAGGTCGACTTAAGATTTCAGACTTCCGAAATGATGAATTTTGGTTTTGAGAACTCTTTCATCTTCAATTTATCATTATATAAATGAGTTTTAAATTACTAAGGTGCTTAATATTAATCACTCGTGAGATAGGACGTAAACAGCAAAGAGAATTTTCTCTACGACGATTCATTTTCATGAGATGTACACTAGTAATTACATTTAAATAAGAAATCATTAGGCCGACTGGATACTGGTAAACTTTGTTCTCGAAACATCCATTACGTAATGTAATGTGCAGGCTTGAACGGATGACTAATTGAACGTTAGAAAGAGACAGAAGTTGGCATGACGTTATAAGTGTGAAATAATGACGGTTGTTGGAATAAGCATACATATGCAGATAGGGTGATAACTAGCTGTTGCAAATAAATAGGTATACTGTCTTAGAAGGGGTTTCAGACGGAAGGATCAAACCCAGAATCTACTGATTGTCCAATAGATAAATTTGAGGCAGACCCGTCCAAAGGTTATGTGTACCATAAAGCATGAGAAGAAGTAAGTTCGATTTGTCAAACATGTGCTAATATCTCGCCTATGAGATAATTTGCATTTAACAGCACTGAATCGCAAATCCCATCATTTCTACATTCATTCATCATGCATCACGAGAATTTTATTTGTAGAAAAAAGGAAATTCATAAGAACTTCGAATGAGATGTATTAAAATACTCTCCTTTTCGTTCAACCCAATATTATTGTTGTTAGTTTTCTTAGTGAAATAAAAGTATGACATAGGTTTTTACAGTATTGTTTTCGCCGTATACAATAACAATCTACGATATTTACGACGTAAGTGTCTAGATGTAGGCGATGACATTTACACTACTTATCTAATCCAATCCAATCCACTCCACTCCACATGCACAGCAATTAATGCAAACGAAAGTGAATTTTTCTCCTGAATAATATGACTGAATTGTGTACTCCCTCTCCTCTCTCAAGTTTTCATCATCATAATAATTATACACACTGTTCACAACTTAATTATTTGGTATAGCATGCACACATCAAAATCCTCATTCTGTCTACAAAATACTCCATTATTAAGTAAGTAACTAAGTAAGTAAGCAAGTAAGTAAGTAGGTAAGGAGATACAAAAAACACTGAGGACTGGTTGATAAAAAGGTAAACTCTACCTACAAAAGATAAGTGTATTATTGTTTGTGTTCGAGGTAGGTTATACGACTGACATTAATACAAATGATATGTAAAACTGCTTTAGACTTGATAAAACTAAATGGAAAAATAAAGTGGTTTCAGGGTTTCCGCCACAGAATGAAGCAGGCAGTTCCTGAATATCCTACTTACCTGAATTCCACTACAGCATTCGAAAGTTATTAAGAGTCAAACCTGTGCGGTCGAATTATGGAGGACAGCCTTCCACGTGAATTCAGCAAACATATAGATCTGCATATAAATTCATCAACCATCCCTACTTACTATCTTAGCAATCTACTTTTGTGAAACAGATGACTTCAGATGTATGATTTTCTCTTAATCCTATGTCCTGTTCTGACTCTTAAATTCAGGCCAACTATTCCGACAAATCCCGAATGTGACAAAGTGTTTGTTGAAATTATACTTGATTATGATAAATGAGGAATCCACCCAAAGTGAGCAAACCACAGATGTATGGTAACACTCTAGTCGCTTAGTAATACTAGTTGGAAATCCCTGCCGGTGAGAATAATTCTGATTGTAGAAAAACATAGGAACTGCTGAGTGGTGGGATGAATACTAGGATACTGCTTCAGATTCAGCTTATAGCATCTGATGAAATACCACGACACTAACTCACAAAGTACACAGAACACAGCTCTGATACTTTTTACAGGATTGACTGATTAAGTAGAAATGTCATGAGACATACCTCGTGAAGGAGTGAGTTCTGAATAGAATAAATCTCTGATTACCTTTTCAACTGACTTATGTCTGTCATATTCACAGTTTGATTTTGTATAAATGGTGAAAGTATTTGAGCGCTACATGAAAACACTAGTGAATAAGTTCAACACATGCAATCGAAACCATAACTCTATAGTGAAACCTGAAGAAAATAACAAGATTCTCTGCTGAATTGAATTCAGAGGACTGCAACAGTCACCATGACAAGAAAGTTAGCCTAATGATATGTACACTTTGTGCATTATGCTTCTTGTTCGCTGTTTCACTGATCACAACATCTACAGTTTTTCCTCTTTCTGTTTACAGACTGAAGACCTTCATCAGAAGACTAAGAGTCTTTATGACCAAATCTCCACAATGTCAGCTGAGGTATCACTAAGAGTGAGTTTAAACCAGCACTTTTTATCTCTTAGTTTAAAACAGTAAACTGGTGTAATGACTGAAGATGAAAAAATCCTAAGTGGCAAAGGGATACAAACCTATGATGTTTGACTTATTAACTTTAGGCTTTACTGACTACTCAAATACGACTGACTTCATCTACAACTCAGAATCACTTCAACCACTAGTTGTCATACCTAATTTCCGAGTTCTTGTTGTTCTTTACAAAAGAAACAAAACAATGCATTTGAAGGTTCAGTTCAACGACTGTTGCAGTAATTGCTTCTACTCAACTACTGAATCTTTCTGACTACCAAGGACGGGCTTTAAATTATATAGAAATTGTTCCTGAAAACTCATTTTAGTTGCCTTCACTTCATGTATACACAGTAATAAGGCGTCAGTTAGCAAACTACTTCACTTTAGTACACATCTGACATATGATCATGAACTTATTAGCAATAGATTCATATTTACGAATCGGTTTAATGATTTGACTAGGTAATAGATCGACTGTCTGCATGGCTACTTGGCTGGCATATATTCCTAGAAACATACATCATATATAAAACCATATAATGTTACGCCTAATAATGCACTTTAAAAAGAGAAATGGAAAGGAAAAACCTAGATCTGTGAAAAAAGACAGTCTGACCAATAGAACAGACTGTTTACTGATTGGATAAGTCATGGTTGCATAGGGAATAACAGTGAATATTCATTTGTTAAGGAAATAGTGTGAATGGCCACACCAAGTAACACAGACACACACATATAAATACATCTTTATCTTTGCACACATTTCCTGTCTCACTTGAAGGAACAGTAAACAAGGGAGTGTCGCATTAGTTAATTAGTTATCTCTGAAGTGGAATTTATTACATAATCATCAGTATCCCAGTAAGACATTCTGAGGTATTCAGGTGAAAATAATCTGTGTAATGGAGAGATTTTATCCAAATTTCTATTCTTATACGAAATCTCACTACGAACCATTGGTTTCAAGTCTACTAACAAGATGTGAATCAGAGCGTGGTGCTAAACTGCAGAGTAACTGTAATGATAATGATGACAGTGAGGAGAAACAATATAGCTGGTGTATTGAAAGACAAAATACGAACATGAATGAAGTCACTGAGCAACAGAATTCTCTCACATCCCCTAATATGCCTCGACAACGAATACAAAGTGTGGATAGAGCAAAAATGTCACGTGGTCAACTAGCAAAATGGACGCCGACAGATTCGCAAAGATGGGCTCGTGAAATTTCAGACCCTCCAGACCGTGAAAAATCAACTGAAGATGAAGATCGGACTGGTTCAGTCTTCACCGGATCTGTACAGTCATTTATATTGCCGTTTACTAGAATTAATGAATACTTAACACCGGGAATTAACGCTAAATATCATAACCACTCTAGAACTTTCGAAAGTGGAATCAACTATCTGAGCTTAGTTTCCCATAATGATGTTCGATGTAACATCATTCCAAACTGTCAGCATTTTCCTGATTTAATGTCAACATCTTTAACAAAGACAAACTCACCAATAAAACATAAGTCAAGATCACTACGTAAGCATTCGCATGAAAAAACACTGCCATGTTCAAGTCAGGACGATAAAACACTCATGACATTAGATTCAAATAATGTGTTCATCAATCCAAACGAGTCCAAATTACAGACTGTGACGAATCAGAAGAGTATACCGCGTTCTAGAAGATTACCGTCACCATGTGTCCGCATGAAAACACTAGAAAGGGATACAAATTATAATATATCTCTCGGAACAGGTCAAAACGCAAGCTCCTCAAACTATGATCTTCGACCAAAGCGATTAATAGAAACAGAACGCATGGTTAGACAAGAATTAGCGTCTGCAAAACAGAAATCAGAAACTTCAAATAGCAACAATGGCATAGACAGAGAAGATCGGAAATCAGAGATGCAGAATTCCACGACACCTCTGAAAAAGTCGAGTTCTAGTGAGAGAAGACAAACAATTTCTCCAGACTCAAATACACCTGAGAATGTTTTAGGAGAAAAAAATTCGTGAAACCGACTTATCCAGAGGATTGGACAAAACTCGAGTCCTAAGGAATGGTGATGATTTAATCAGAGATGATGCAGATTCGAAGGTAATTCAATTGAGTTTCAAGTGTGCATGCAATTACTTTGTTCCGCTATCTGTCTTTTGCTTTGCCATAATGTATTCTGTAAGACTCGGAGTTTACCCATTCGGCTACAGTGGAAAACGACAGAGGGGGATTAAATATATGCCTAGAAATGTATTAGTATAAACAGTTTTATAACGTGTAAGTATTGACAACATACAATGCTCTTCATTGATATGCTTGTTAAATATACGTGAACTTGTTAGGGTAGAATAAATCATGTTTATTAGTCAGCGGAGAAACTATTGGAATTTTAAGCAGCATTTAGCTGGACTTTAAGGGTTACGTGAAACGCATGCGTCACTGTTTCATGTAGTGCATAGTATTATGGAAAATTTTATGAACAATGCACGTACACCTGCACGACAAAATTTACTTCAATAATTTGTTGATTTACAAAGTCTGTGCTTACGCCAAAAGAAATTAATTCTCTGTCCTAGAATCTGCTTCTCATACCCTTTTTCTCTAATATTCAGACACTAAGTTTATCAACAAAATTATTAGTGAGATTGGTGAAATCTTACCAGCTCTGCGTATCGAAACACGGTGCTGTTTGCACTACTACGAAAAACTAGTACTCAATGGTAACTAAGTGCTCAATATTACGTTTTCTCTTGTATACAGGACACTGTGATTCGAGATTTAAAAGATACTTTGGCAAAAATGGTGGATCCAATTGGGCAAATTAAACCGTCGGAAATTATGAAGGTTAGTTTCATGAAAATATAAGTTTTTTTAAATGTTAATGGAGAGCTTAAGGACGTCAGGACAGGAATGAAGGGTATCGTGAAGACTGTAACAAAACCACTGTTAATACCCTCTATTTATTAGATCAAAAACTTATTGCACTCTGAGATTGAAACAGATAGAAACCGGGTGTTAAAAATGATGCCTTAATAAAACCGAATTCTGGGCATTTGGAAGTTTTGAATACTTCTAAATTTCTTTTCTCCAATTAGATTAGGTTAATATTCAGACTTTTATATAAAATTCAAATTTAGCCTGATAACCACAATGAACCACTTTTGTGTGACTCTGATATGTATTTAAATGAGTGTCTTTTTGAGTTACTGCATCGTTCTTCCTGATATCAGGAATAATACATACCTGAAATCTCTGTGTAAAGTTTTACATAACAATAGCGTAGTTTGGAAGTAATAGGCTTTGCCTTGTTTGGTAGACTGCCAAGTGATGCTGTAGAACTGGTCTGTACTGACTACTGGTTTGACGGCAGTCAGTTAAATTATATAATGCTTTGATGAATTCACTAAACTTAGAAGTTATACTAGCCCTAATGCACTCATTGCTAACAAAACGTCAAAATGAATATAAAGAGCTATTTATCATTTTCGAACTTAAGTTATTTCTTGTTTAGGATGAATTTCTGGTCACCATTCAAAAGGTGTATTCACCATGAAGTAGTCCATTCAGTCCAACTTTACGAGACTGTTGAAAAGAGAATTTCAACAGGTGTTTGTTGGCAGCTTCTTATCAGAGGTGTTTCGTTCATTTGTCTAGGTTAGATATAAAAGCAAGATAAGCAATAATCAGGTTAGTTGTAGGGCTTTTGGTAAGAATGGGGAGTCAACTGATGATGTTTTAAGACTAGGAGATAGCGGGAAGATGTGTCACGTAAATCGAGCCATGACCTATGAAAAATTACGTTAGCTGAAATAAGATCAGGCTACTGACTGATCTGAATTGATCAGAATAAAACGCGGCACTAGTCCATGAAGACTTTAACTTTTGGTTTGAGCCGAGTGAAGGGTTGTAGATTGTCCGGCTAGGGTTCGTTTAGTGCTAAGAATCATCGGTAGGACGTTTTCTGTGAAACGTTCCTAAAATTGTCAATGATTCTACGTATGCACTGGCTTTGTTCACTTCAAGATCGTAAAAGTCCACAACAAATATTCATTCAACTGTTCTCCACCATATGTTTCTATCCACTATAGTTTCACCATCTCCCTTTTTTCTTGAATTGTATGCGAGCAAAGTTTTATGTTGTTAAATTAGTCATTCTGCTCTTTTTTCATTTATTAATTAACTCACCCAGTTACTCATTAGATCGCCAAGCATCATATGCGCCTACTGAAATAAACACTCGATGGGTTGTGTTAACTGATTCACCGTTAGGTAAATAAATGATTAGAACAAAAGAAATTAAGTGAATAGAAAATAAATCAGTGATACATAAAACTTTTCAGTACTTATGTTCAGGTGACGTTTTTCCGAGTCAAGAACAGAATCTTAAGGTGTTCCATTCTTAATATCGTTATGGGAAATGTTTATCTTCCTTCAGTGTACCAGACACAGTTAGTTTCATTAACAAATAAATTTAACGGAAAATTGGATGGAGGAATTCATCATGAGCTGACATCAGTTAGAGAACCACTGTAAAACCTGGGAGAACTGGACAGCCGTTTCGTCCTAGTTTAGGACTCTTCATTAGTAGGCACCCACTGAAGGATCTCAGAATCCCTCTCTGTTGCCTCTCACTATCAAGTGGTACCTGGAAAATTCCGTAAAGCCTACACTCATCATAAGAGCATGTATGGCTTCTGCTATGCATTCAGATGCCTTATTACAGAGGTATATCAGTTTCGTAGAATGAGTTCTAGATGCATCCGACATCGTCCTCAGGAGTTTCGAAAAGCGTGGGTAACAATAAAGTTTGAACTGAATACTATATACATATATATAATATATATATATAATATGTACAGTGAGAAGGCACCGTGATATGGAATGGCATATCATAATACGCTATAATTGAGGACGACAACGTCTAAAAGTTAAATCTTTGAAAGTTCAATAGAGTAAAACTAATTGGCATTGCTTTTTTGCGTTAATTTGTATTATTATTATTATTTTATTCCTTCACATTCCCAGTGGAACATAGGGATTCAGGCAAGAGGCTTGAAGTTTCCGTAGAAGTGTTCATTTTTACAGGATGGAGATGCAAGCCTCATGCAGAACCTTTCCTGTCTACCAGTCTTATAACTGGCTTAGCAAGGTGAAGGAGTGTGTCGGCCGAGGATCGAACCCTGCACCATGTCCATGATCCGCTCGCGTCCTAACCACTGTGCCACCAACGCACAAGGAAATGCAATATTCCATAGTTACGAAAAATTCAGCCCTTGAATTTCTGAGAGCTGCACATGTCTATAAGATGACAAATATATCCAAAGCCTGGGTTTCAGAAACAGAATATTGAACCATTGGAATTCACATAATTAGACATTGTCGTTAAAAGACGTTTAAGAAGAAGTAGAGATGATCATATCGAAGGAAGTGCATCCAACTGAAACTTCAGGATTAGTTCTATCGTACTACGTTATGGCAGTATCTCGACAGTTATTATTTTAACAAAATATCTGTCTTTAGTTACCATCTTTAGTGAATACTGAGAATGATGCCTATTCTTCTAATATTTACACTAACCGTTCATTTGAGTTGGTATTTGACGTCTAAAACTGTCTGCCCATTTGATTATAATTTCTTTGTCAGAACTCTGAGATACAAGAGCTTCAAAGCATTGTAAATCATACACGTGAGGAAGATAGGGACAGCAAGTCTTTAGCCAACTCTCCAAACAGTTTTAAACCACGACCAAGAAGATCGATGTCTTGTCGTACACTTCCTGATGCTTTTTACCGAGGTGAGTTTGGATTCTATGGCCACCTTATTGTTCTCTATATGAATAGTATAAGAAACTGGATAAATATGTACAAAGGATATTTTAGACAATTTTCAGACTCCTTAGCTTCCGGAAAATGTCACAATGGGATTCATAAATCTTCATGGAAACCTCTACTTTCATTATATTCAGCTAATTATATTCTCTTATTTAATTCGAAGCTATTAGACTTGCAAATGTTGTTCCGTTAAGAAATCCTAATGCGCTGCATCAAAATGCATAAGCATTTCAGAAGTGCAATATTCAGGATGATTACGAGAATACATTCACAGCTCACAGGCTGATAAATGACATGTCAAAGTATTCGACCATTGAGTTACGCGTTTCAAAGCAACAATGAAATGTAAAAGTGGATCGTAAAACACCAACAGAGTATAAAATGAGACAAAGCTCATGTGCAGGTCAAATCAGAAGGATAAAAAAGAATTAATCGTAATTAATTCACTTCGGTGAAACTTCACTTTTCACATCCCCCCCCCCACCATCCCACTTCATTTTATGCACTCAGTGCATTTGATAGGAACTTTTTCAAGTGGTTAAATTACTCGTGGTTTACTTCAAACTTTTACAAAATAGTAAGAAAAGATTTTGATTCAGATTCTTCGAATAGTTTTCGTCGCTGTGATAGGCTTATACGTCGCTGTTCTTAGAAAATAGATGGCCGACCACAGTTAATATGCGTCCACAGTTCATCATGGAAACCTACATATGAAACAGGAAAACACAATACTTAGTTATCAAAACCTAATAATCAACATCTTTTCTGAGTAGATCTTTATGGAAAAGTAACTGATGTGAGTCACATATTCTCACCATACATCAATGTCAGCTGCATAAATCTACCCGGTGTTTATTGCCTACACGACCGACTTCCATTTATCATGAAGAATCATTTTGAAATATTTTGAACCATGTGCAATAAAGATGGCTTCAGTACACACGAGAACAACATGGAATTAGGGATTTGACGAGAAAGCCATCATGCATTTACAGTGGCAAACAGACTCTCACTTTGTCCATCACTTTACATTCAAATACAGATTACTGTCTAAGCATTGAGTAACAGGCAATCAGATGATGAATGGATTATTCTTAAAAAGCTCAATATCTCATATTTCAAAAAAAACCTTTTAATCTCTCTTCGCCGCCTCATATTTAAAACTTTTCAGATAATCAAGATGCTGTAAGCTTGAGCAGCGTTGCAAGTGGCACAAGTGCCGGCGGTCAAACCATGCCCACAGATCCAAAGAAACATGACAACTGCTCCTATTCTATTGGGAATAACGCTTCAACGTTGGAGACACAGACAGTCTATACTAAACATTCCAGATGGGTGAGTTCGGATTTCAATCTTTTTCCTATTTATAACTAGAGGCACAGATGACGATTTCCAGTTATTTGGAAGTGAAGGACTCCCACCAACTTAAAAATATGGGAAAAAGCGTTAGGAAAATAAGTGTGTGTGTGTGATTAATTTGAGCTTTAAGTGTGACTCTACAAGTGGTTCTCAACAGCCAGTTTCTGCCACCAGCTGCAAAACGCACTCTAGTTGGCTGGACCGTTCGTCTGAAAATTATTAATAAAGTTCGTCAACACGGATGGTCACGTGGTTCACAACTGCTACAGGAAGATACAGTGTAGCCTGCATGACACTTAGTAACTGCAAATGTCGCAGTCAACGGGCAAAAATTAAACTTGTCTAGAAGACACACTCATCAGTTTGTTTTGCGTTTGAAGATATTGTGTTTGACGTTCGAAAGCTAAAGACGTGAAAGGAATGTATTCGTTGTGATACAAGTGTCTTCCATCTAATGTCTAAATTGACTCGCTAATTTTAAGTCACTTAGGGAAGTCAGCTGATGAAACAAGAAAATAGTAATTCATGTCCAATGAGTCGAATCCCAGTGTCTGGATGGCCTAGAAGCTTGACTGGTAACTGGAAGGTCGCAGCTCCGAACCCTGACGGTGGATGCTCCTGACGATGAGTTCAAAACTAGACCGACGAAACAGCTGTCCAGCAGTTCCTGGTTTTCAATGGCTCTCTAACTGACACCAATCTGTGCTCAAAACTGGAGCAATTAATGTTATGAAACATCAGTTATTTGTGGTGAACTATCCTCCATCTCTACCATGTTATTGGGTGACAAAACAGTGAAAAATGAGAGTGGCATCGGTTTATGAAGTTGCAACCTCTCTGAAATGTGGTGGAAACGACAGACAAATCAATATATTAGGTGAAATTTCCTTTGGGAAGTAATATAGAGCTTTCGGTCAGAGATTTTGATACCTCAGCTATCACACACACACAGGACTCCAGGTTAAATGAAGAAGACTGGTCACCATGGCGGCACCATATCTATCAATTCTCTTTTCATAAATCTTGATCAATATGGCGATTACTTTGTTAATACCCATTGAGAGCTGATATGTCCGGCATCCACGTGATTTCAGTCAGTTTCTTCTGATTATTACAAGGTACTTTTATAGTATTCCTTGCAGTCTACTTTGGATTGTTACTGTCTTCGATTAGGAATAAAAATTTTAAGATAGGAAAGGCTTCAAGAAACAAGCGATAGGCACATCTAGTACACATTCTCTTTTTATAATACTACCCAGTAAACGAATTCGGTCACTTTTCGCATCGAATAGGTAACTTACGTTAAATATGTAAAGGTTAGTCTGTGGTTGAGAAAGAACAACACTGCATTACATGATATGTCGTAGATTGCTATCGTACTTGTCGATCCTGAATGACGAAAAATATTATGCGGTAAATTCTGTATATTTTGGAAATATTTTGTCCAGAACAACGCTGGTATTTAAACATATATATGTGGAGAGTTGTTAATAAATCTCGATTACCGATATATGTTAGTGACTTATATATTACAACTGTCTATTGATATTATGCATAAAAGATGCAGGATCTATCGAAACAAACAGCTGATAGGTGGCTAACCTCCATAGTCGCCTACCGATCTCTACTGGTGGAAGCCTTAGGTTCAATTTGACTAACCTAACGGTCAGTCACTTCCCCTAGGTACTGTTAAGTTAATCAACAGTAAACCTATATTTTTTCTTTGGTTACAGTATTTCATCATGAGCTGACATTAGTTAGAGAGCCATTGGAATACCTGGGAGTACTGGACAGCTGTTTCGTCCTAGTTTGGCAGTCTTCATCGATACGCACCCACCGCCAAAGTTCGAACCCATGACCTTCTGGTTACAAGGCAAGCTAGCTTGTAGACCAGTAAGCCACTGGGACCCGATACAATGGCCAGTGCGTGAACCCCAACTTCTACCAATTCACGATATAGCACAACCGCTAGCCAATGTCTTCGGCGAGTATTCGTCCTCCCACCCGACCTGCTGCACCCCACTGAGCACGACTTCCCACTGGAACCCCAGGTAACTACCTACCTGAATAGGGCCAGTCACCAGTGAGCATCTCATTGATATTCAAGTATTGGTACTTGAATATTATATTTTTGCTCACTGTAATGATAACTTTTGATGATTCGTCAAACTGTTACTTTCTAAAGGGAGAAATGGTTGATGTGTTGAAACTAAATTTCAGCGAAACACTACAAACCCATCTCATTAGAGAGAAGTTTCAAACAAGACAGAAATCTAAGATTGCTTAATCTATTGCGTAATTCGAAGGGCTGCACTACAACTGATAAAATGCTGTCGTTTAAATTTGTCATAGCTATTTCAGATAATGATAACTATTATTCATTTGCATACAGAAAACAATGGCGTTAATTCTGATCGTCTTCATAATACTCGTTGTTAAATGTGCACTTGTTTTATTGGCAGTTACAGCTGCCTTCAAGTTATGTCAATATTTTTGCACTACGAAGATTATATATTCACTGGCGTCATTTCAAAGTAAAACAGTTCGTTCTAAACCAAAATCCATAAAACGAGAACACTTCACGGGTTATGATAGCTAAACTTCTTTCTCAACTGAGGATCGTGAAACTTTGGAAATGACCTTCATTTGGCCCTTGGAAAAAGATTATCAGTATAAGAACAATTTAATGGCGAGCTAGTAAACAAGGGTTCACTTAACACAAATCACGGAATCACAAAATCAGTAGGGAACTCCGCTTGCCAATATACTCTGGAAAATTACTCCACTAGTCGTACACTCACCCACCTGATTCATGATCATTATACCTGTATTCTCTGAGTACTCACTAACGGTTGGCCGCTTGACTCCTACAATCTACCGAGTGACCTTCAGCACACACACTCAACAGACATCATAGTGCTAGCTGGAGACTCGAATGTGCAGTTCAAGTACCTAGCCTCAGAGAAGAGTCATTTACCTGGTCAGTGAGAACTACATGGTCTCAGGTCAAATGATTGAGGCTATCTTCTGCCATCACTATAGGGATACATGGAGCCAAGAATGAACCTGATAATAGTCAGAGATTGTTGTTGACTAGGATTAATCACGAGTTAATCGTCAAACTAACTTCAAATGAGGGAGTTAGGCTGGAGTTGCATATTGGCTTGTTAGTACAGTGAATAGAATGAATGTTTGAAGAGTAACAATCTGGTTGGTTTTCAGTATTACTAAGTAAGTCGTTAATTTGAATTATGATACTTCATTTACCAACATCTCCTTTTTGTTGAATATTCATTCTTGTTTAAGTATCTCCTCACAACAATTAATCTGCATTTAGTCTAACTTCATTCGAAACTTATTATTGTCATTTTGTGTGCCGTTTCCCATCATGCCACTTTTGCATTATAATCACAAAAGGGATCGAACATTCGACTCTTGAACATTCCATTATCAAAAAACATAGTGTACGCAGATGAAGTTAGTATTGTGATCTGCCATCACTATAGGCCTTTCAAAATCAAGGACAGCAACTTGAAGCCTTAAAACAACAGCTGATCTAGTCTTCCTCCAGTTCAACTAGTGACAGGAGGTCAATAGAACATTCTTTTATTCCTTCACGTTCCCAGTGGAACATAGGGCTTCAGGCTGGAGGCTTGAAGTTTCTGTATCAGTGGTGGTTATTTTTACAGGATGTGGTTGCTAGCCTCATGCCCAACCTTTCCTCTTTACCAGCTTTTATTACTGGCTTAGCGAGGTAAGGGAGTTCGTCGGCCGGGGATCGAACCCTGGACTATGTGCATGGTCAGCAAGCGTCCTAATCGCTGTGCCACTGGCGCACATACATACTGCCTAATAATACCGAAATCTAAAACCACTGATGTTTGTCAGCCTCATCGGAGTGGTCCAAATACCAGGCGGAAGTAAACACGCATTATCTCAGCTAAAATGCTTAGTCAGTTCAAACCAATGAAATAATGACTGAGAGCCGACGACATATGGTATGCAGACAGCCGTTGACAAAGTTTACAGTTTCAAGAGAAATTTCTCTTACGGTTTTCTGTAGTCACATACAATATTTTTGACCTGCTTAACTCTATAAACTGCATAACGGAAGCAAGCGAACAAGTGCAATATGATCCACACTACTCATTGGCATGTTTGCGAAATAACGGTGATGAGATTTTAGCTTTGTACTTTGAAAGCAACAACAACAACAACCTCCTGTGAAATATTGTTTTTAAATTTGAATGGTTATAATAAGACTTGGCAGTTCATCGATGTTCTAAGCATACTTCTACTCCTCATCTGTCTTTTTTTCTTTTTCATTTCATCTTCCTGTCATTTTTTTCAAGTGATTTACAATTAACTGTGTCTTTAGAAAACTTTGTGTACTGTAGGATGAATTAAATAGATTGATTTTCTCTGAATTTATTTTTTGCACTTATACGCTAAGTACTACGGGCTACATAGACAAGATTAGTCAACAGAGTGAAACAGGTTCATATGAATTATCCAGTTGTTAATACTGCATAGCTGTGTGATAATTAAAAATAAACTTATTTTTATGTGGTGCCACCTACAACGCGCCCAATAATACCAACAACGGAAGCACAACTATCAGTGGACATCAATCCTCTGATGAAAACAGATGAAAATCCTGAAGGCAATAAAGATGCTAAAAACTGGAAAAGCTGCATCAAAACCAGACTGAATCCCAGCAGAAGCATTGAAAATGGCCTCGGAGACATCAGCGGACTTCACGATAACACTACTGATGAAGGTTTGGAAAGAGGGCAAGGAACCTGCGGATTGCAAGAAAGTCTACGTATTCCAACTACCGAAGAAAGGAAACTTAAGCTAATGCAAGAATCGGCGCGGCATTGTTCTCCTGTCTATCCCAAGTAAAATACTAAGCTGCATCATCCTGGAGGGAATCAAACACGCCCTGGATGTAAAACTTCGACCAGAACAGGCTGGATTCAAAAGAAACAAGTCATGCATCGATCAAGTCGGAACACTCCGGATCATCATTGAACAGAGCTTGAAATGGCATTTACTTGTATTTAAAATATATTTCCACTAATATGACGATATGACCGCTGATACGAGCTAGTAGCCTGTGTGCAATACGAACCTTGTGTGCTAACTAAAATTATTTAGATGGTTGATAAAATAGTCAACCATAACTGTTGATATACCACCGGAACTTTAAAACAAGAGGAGACTGACTGTTGACAACAGTTCAAACAATTGAATGCATTGATGAATATATATGGACCGAAACAACTTAAACAAGCACTGAATTTACGGGAATGTTCAAAGAGACAACAACTAAAGAAAATTTAGTCCTCACAACAAAAGGGATATACTGAAGTGCTCCATAACTTCAGAATAAAGTCGTTATAGGGTTATACGCTTGTGTGAGGCCAAACCCAGGGATATAAAACCTAGAATAAGCAGACTTAGTTTTAGTAATTCCTTGTTGGACGAATAAAAGCATATTTTTCTAATCCTGAGATAAGACTAATGGTGTAATCGGATCAGCAAAGTGATTGCAGGCGATTGTGAACTGTTATTATCATATTAGTATAAAGTGAAAGCAAAGTTTGCTAGCACTTGTAAATTAGTCGTATTCACAACACTGAAGCTCATTAGACCCGAATGGCTGAATAACGAACTTGTTAGCTTCAACGCAAGTTCACCTAACTTTATAATGCAAGTAGAAAATGATATTCTGAATTCTCTACATCATAATTGATGATAAGTTCAACCAATCCTAGATCCAGAGGTTCATCATAACTGACTTTGAAACCCACAAATTGAGTCCGTATCTCTTACCCTTACACACTTTTTTTAATCTTTCAACCATGTTTTTGTAGTTGGGCAAATCCATAGCCAAAGCGTTTAGAAAACGCACAAGGTCGACTACACAATCAACCAATTCAGAGGGTACAATAAATGACACTACGATTACGAAGTAAGTTAATTTAGACCACTCAGAGTGATTGATCCTTTGACTTATTGTCATATTTTTGTATTTAGGACAGTTGAAAAAGCTTAAGTGTACACTAATATCGATCACTTAGATGAAGTAGTTAGTCAGTATTATTTAATCGGTTGTAAGGTTTCCCGAGAATCATTCCGTTTTCGAGAAGATTTCATTCAGAACCGACAGTCGTCTGAAGATCCATTGAAAAGGAAGTAGAATTTCATATCTTATTCTCATTGTTTTGGATCTATACAGCAGAGCCCATGCATAATTTCAGTTGTTCCCGGAACCTGTATTGCTTTGTCAAAAAATCTTAACTAAACTGAGTTAAGTGTGAAAGTAATTTATAAAAACTTTCAAGATGTAATTTGAAGTGCTCTACAATTTCGAACTCCATTCGGCATTTTGCTTTAAATAGACCATGTTTCATTAAAGGAAATCAATATAGTTTAGGCTCACGAACACAATGGTTAATAGTGTAACAAATATATAAAACACATGTTTACTTCTATCAACTTTCTACAGAAACCAGAAAATACGAAGACGTAAACGAAATTGATCTTATTCTTAGAAGGGAAATAATGGAGAAGATTTATAGCTCAAGAGGATGAATAAAACTCCTAGAAACTGAATGCCTAACCACTTTTTCTGTCTGAATACATACACCTGCCATCCAGTATGCATTTTGCCACTACTGATATTCATAAAATCGCTTGTAACGAAGTAGCTGGGCAGTACATTCTAAACTACACAAGGCACGGATGAGTATATCGGAGTTAGAATCGGGGAAGCAAAAAAGGCTATCTGTTTTTCTATTACAAATTGTCCACTGAATAAATTGCTACACATTTCATAATTATCTCAACCTTTAAAAAATGTCTTGTATTTTCAGTATGGAGCCTAACCAAATCAGTCAGAAATCGAACGATGACAATCAGTTGGATCGACTTTATCTGACAATCAGTCGATTGCAATGTAGGATAGATCTGCTTGAAGCAAGACACAAAAAACTACAGGAAACCGTATTGAAATATAATCCTGATGATGAACTTCTATGCAATGAATTTCGTTTGGAAGGAACCAACAGAAAAGTGTTTTTATCAGGTTTGTTTTCTTCTAATAATTGATCTTTCTTAACACAATGCAATACTATTGTGAGTTCGAGTTAATGATGTATTTTCTGGTTAGTAGTTTCAAGATTCAAATCTGAACTCTTTCACTTCACACAAGTCGGCTAAATAGTATCACAAGCCTCCAAATATAAAGAATGTGTCGTGTTCTAAACAGAAAAGACATACGATTTATACAACTTCTCAAATGATGACTTTACAAAATCCCTATTTTGTGTTGTATATCTCGGCTTACCAGAATCGTCATTCTCAAGACGTGTTTAATCCTCAGCATGATAGAATAGATTTCATGTAAAGCAGACAATAATACTGCGTCTTATAAATTATTCTACTCTGGATTTCTACTTCATCGAAATGCTCACGTTCTGTCCAAATAAAACGCTATGATTCACTTTCATTTTAATCATTGGAATTCTAATGAAGTGTCTAGAATCCGGCAGTGAAAACGATTCAAGTGTACTACAAGCTTGACTTTTATCATCATCCCAACCTTCTGGTATTTGTTACATTCTTCTTTAATACATTTCCGTATTTAGATTACGTACTACTACAAGAGTGTAGTCGTTATTATTAAACAAATTCATTGTCAGATCACTTAAATGATATATATTAAGACATCGTTTTGTCTAGGGAACACATGTCAATTAATACATATTGATGATCACAGAAATGTTCTGTTCAATAGAGTAATGCCCAGACATGCTAACGTGATACAATGAATTCTGAATCAAGGTTAAGGCATAAAACAATTTATAAGTCTACCGTAGCGAAGAATTTAACTTACTTTATTCTATTTATATCATTATTTCTGACATTTATTTGCATATGCAGAAAGAACGTGTAATTTCCTGTCTTTATTTATACATAAACTTACAGAAATGCATTGGAAAGCATCCTGATAAGTAGATGTACAGTCAGAGCTCTTCTTTGTGTACTTATTTTGTACGTGTGTATAAGTGAAGGGTTTTGTGCGTTTGTTGGTGAACTAATAAACATTCACAGCAGTATTATGTACGAAAAATGTGATCGCATGTCGCATAATATCTTTTCCCATAAAGGTATCTGTATATGTATATACAGGACGTTTCAAAAATCGATTTTGCACCTGTAGATGACACTGTACTATAATAAAGTTTAATTTGTAGTTTTCCTCTCATTCCTTCACATTATGAATTGAACGTGGGGCTTCAGATCTCTGGGTTTCAGTGGTGGCTGTGTTGTTTTTTTCTACTGGGTGGTGTTTCTAGCCTCACTGACAGTCTTTTCTCTATTCGTGCCCTACTGTTGGCTAATAAATTAGGTGTCTGTGTGTGCGTGTATGTGTCAGCTGAGAATCGAACCACAACCTCTGGAATGGCTGGCTAGTGCCCATAAGAGAAGATTAAGATATTGTTTTATAGTTGAATTGGGCATTTCATAAGTGAGACGCACCCTGAGTCAAAATAAAAATTAAATCAGATCATAATTCGATCAGCTTACATTATAAATAACAACCATATGGGCTTTCATTTCAGCTCTAATCTTGACCGTGTTACGTAGAGGAAAGACATTCAGCCAGCATATGTTAAGTTAGTATATGATTATGACATGATATGATATGAGGAAAAGAAACGGTTTCGAGAGCAGGAGTTATCAAAATATTCGAGTTAAAGTATGCACCTATGACATAACATGGTCATACTAATCTATTTTGGAAAATGAAATATACATAATTAAGGAGGGTATTAAAACACTCGTCCGGAATTTATTTTCTACTGAACGAACGTTCCTGTCTCAAATCTTTCCACTATTTGCAGTATAAACTTCGCACAGGATTTTAAGAAATTGTGAATATCTTATTCCACATACTCAAGAGATGAGCATTTCAATACTATATCCCTTGTAATATATAATCAGATTTGATAATGCGAATATCAGTTACATGAATCCCTTCAAATACCAAAAATCTCGTTTGAAGTTGATGTCAACTGGAACTAAAGATGAAGATTAAGTCCCATCGAAAGCATCATTTCACGAGAAATCAACTCAGGTAGTTCTTTTTACAACAGTTTACTAATTAGGACTTCTACTTCGTCCAGAACAGGCTGGATTCAGGAGAAACAAATCATGTATTGATCAAATCGCCACTCTACGGATCATCATTGAACAAAGCTTGGAATGGCAGTCACCTCTCTATCTCAACTTCATCGACTTTGAAAAGGCCTTCGACAGCGTCGATCGAGAGGTCATTTGGAAACTACTTCGCTACTACGGGGTCCCATCGACAATTATACACCTCATCCAACAGTTATACGACAATGCTGCATGCCAAGTAATCCACAACGGGAAACTTACGGAAGCCTTCGAAGTGAGGACGGGGGTGAGGCAAGGCTGTCTACTATCACCAATGATCTTCCTGATTGCAATCGATTGGATAATGAGACAGACAACGTCAACCAACGAGGGAACAGGCATAAAATGGACTGACACAAAAGACTTGGAGGATCTGGATTTCGCCGATGATATATGTCTGATTTCCCATAAACTGGAAGATATGCAAATGAAAAGTAACAAATTGGCAGAAGAAGCATCAAAGATAGGACTTCACGTGAACATAGATAAAACAGAGATGATGAAGATTCCTTGCCAACATCAACAGCAACAACAGACCATAATAAGCATAAATGGGAAGAACCTGAAAGAAACAACCTCCTTCACCTACCTGGGAAGCATCGTCTCAACTACAGGCGGAACTGACGAGGACATCAAAGCCAGAATCGGAAAAGCAAGACAAGCTTTCATTACTCTCAAATCTGTGTGGAGGTCAACATCATTCAGCATCAAAAATAAGATCCGGATTTTCAACTCCAATGTGAAGTCAGTGCTACTATACGGAACAGAGACTTGGCGAGTCATAAAGAGCATCTCAAACAAACTTCAAACCTTCATTAACAACTGTCTCCGCTCAATACTCAAGATCAGATGGCCAGAAAAGATCAGCAACAGGGATCTCTGGGAGCGAACCAATCAGGAACCGATTGTTAAACAAATAGGCAGAAAGAAATGGAGATGGATTGGCCATACGCTGAGGAAACCAACAAGTGACATCACTAGACAAGCCCTCGAGTGGAACCCGAAAGGGAGGCGGCGAGTTGGTCGTCCAAGGGTGACTTGGAGGAGGTCATGTGAAGAGGAGATGAAAGCATGTGGGCAGACCTGGAGCAGGGTGAAAAAGTTGTCAAAAAACCGAAGTCAATGGAGGTGCGCAGCTGAAGCCCTATGTTCCTCTAGGAACTAAAGGATACAATAATAATAATAATTTATTGCTTAGGCGACAGATTAATTTAGACAAAAATGCTCATTTTCAAGCAGATACTCCAAAATAAAAAAATAAATTCTACATGCAAGCCTAGCTGCATGCTTAATGTAAGTCCAGATTTCATTTCTATTGAGTGACATACTCATTCATGGACATGTCAGTAATACTTCTTTCTCAGCACCTGAATGAGCCAGGGTGATAATTTATATATATATAAGAACCATTTTGGTCTTACGATAGTTAGGTCACTTTACAGTCATCATCATCGTTGTTTCAATCCGTTGAATGTACAAGAAGACAGAAAGCGAACTATAACCAGTTTTATTATATTCAGTTGTCCATTGACACAATGTCCGTATTAGTTCAATAAAGCTTATTCATCCCGTGGTTAATACTTAATAATCCGAGTTATTTCTTTATCTTCTTTCATGACACATTAACTAGATTTGTCGTCTAAATTTTGCAAAAATAGTCGTTATTTTGTGCCAGTCCTTGTGAACACTGAAGAAATCATTATTGATTCAGAATCGAAAAAATCACTGAAAATAGGATGCATTGGATTAAAGGATGATATGACTTGGAATGAGCTGGATGAAGTACTGCAAGAACTACTTCAGGTGGGTATATGGGCTTGTAAGTGCCTAAATTATAAAACATACTTCTTTCTATTTTCTGTAGTCCAGATCTTTCTACAATACCGGTGTGCGAACCACCAAGCATTAAGCACTGCATAGCTGTGTAAATCCAAGTATCCATTACACTGCTTTTATATTGGTCCATCGAAAGTTATAAGGAGGTTATGCTAGGTCTATACGGCCAATAATCCCTGAACATAAAAGCATGGTAAAAAGCGGACAAAACTTTGAAGAAATAGATTGAAAAGGCAATAAAATTAGTGAAGCTTTTATTATTTCTCTTTGTTCACTGAAAGAAGAATAAAGATGGAGAAAAATCTGTTCTGCTGTTATTATTTGAGCACAGTATGACACAATGTGTTCTCCTCACTTAATTGGCTGTAGGTTTATGGAAGCAAGTGAGATTTATTCTAGTCATTAGTGTGCAGTAACACAAGTAAGTATTGGTTATAAATTTGTGCAATAAGATATCAAAGTGACAATAGCAGTAAGTACCGTCTGAATATAGATCGAGCCCTAGTGCCCTAATGAGGCTGTTGACAGAAACTTCGCCCAGAAATAGCTGGATTCAAGAGGAATAAATGAAATCATAGCATAACATATCATCATCGAGCAGAGGTTTGAATGACAGTTAATTTTATACTTCAACTTCGCCGACTTTGAAAAGTCTTTCGACAACATAGATTGTGAAGTAATTTGACAGCTTCTCCATGACCGTGAAATGCAGTGCCACACACATTTATAAACTCCATCCAACAGCGATACGATGATGCCGAATTCCAAGTAATTCACAAGAGAAACCACATCGAGGTATTGGATCTCATGGCATATGAAATAGAAGCCTCCCCACTATCAATGATAATATTCATGATTTTGGTGAACTGCGTCATTCAGCACACTGTGGGAGGTTATTAAATGGATTCATGTTGAAGAGATAACGATAGCCTAGAATATCTGGATTAACAGGGGACTTATGTTTTTTGCCTCATAAACTGGAAGATACGCAAGAGAAAACTAATAGGTTAGTAGAAGAGGCAAAGAAGACAGTACTTCAAGTGAAGATTGAGAAGAAAGAGGTGAACAAGATAACCGATCACCATCACCACCACCACAACCAACAACAACAACAACAACGAACACCAGTCACACTCATTGGGATAAATCTAAAGCAAGTCGTCAGTTTTACTGCCACTTATTTGGGCGGCATAGTTCCTACTGCATGTTGACGACATGGACGAAGATGTCAAAGTCAGGATTGAGAAAGCAAGACATGCATTCAATTCTCTGAAATCGACTGAAGTATCTATAAACTCAGCACAGCGGACAACATCCCAATTTTCAATGGTGATGTATATCCAACGCATTTTTATTTTCCCAGGACTTGGAGCGCGTCACTTAAGACATTTTCGCGAATCGGCTGCGCGCCTTCATCAACATTTGCCTTCGATGGCTCGATAGTGCAAATCAGTTTCTTAGCTGGGAAGGATAAACGCCGAGGAACTCTGGAGGTCATCAAACCACTCAAGAAGCTATTGTGCAACAAAAATGCAGGAGGAAATCGAGACAGGCTGGAGGCGCAGTGAGTAGACTATTCAGTGACATCACATGCCATACTGGCGTCAAGTGGAATCAGAATGAAAAACGACTGGTTGGATGTCAGAGTGGATCATGATGAATATCAGGTGAAGAGGAAATAGGAGATTGTAGACAGTTTTGAAGCCGATTGAAAATGATAGGAGAGAACAGAGTGCCTTGGAAATAGGCTTTTGAAGCTCAACGAATGAGTAATAACAAGACAATTATATCAGAGTCACAGTCAGAATATGATAATGAAAACAGTTACTGTCTCTGTCAAAAATAACCCAGTGTCTACAAACCCAATGTTTGAAAGTATTTTGGGTTATTTAAAATAATTAGTCCCATACTGTTCTGTTTTCAGTAATCTCTCACTGCCTTTAGTTTATTGTAAAATCTTCGGGTTTAATTTTAATCAGACATATACTCTGATATTAGTTACCTAGTGAAGTGTTTAATTCTAGTTTCAACCAACTCAACGATGGAAAATAAAAATATTATTGTGAAACCGAAATATTGCTTATTAGATTAAAAGCAAGGATAAATAAAGCACTGACACAACATGTATGTATACTTATTTACGAGAGGACAGTCAATTCTAATCTCTGAAAGACTTGGCGTTAGTATACAGTTTATTTAGATAGATTATTACTCCAGTTATGCAAACTACATAGTTATCAGTCAAATTGGAAATAATCTACTGTGTTTTTGTTATCAGTAATACAAGAAAACAGTACCTGCTGTTTGTTCCACCTTCTACTGTATAAACTAAACGTAGTAGTGGTATTCGAATCAAGAGAAATACACACACACACACAAACAGACACAATAAAGAATACCTTTCAACTTTATGAATAAGAAAATTGAACTACTTTCTAGATATTACATGAACAGTGCATCCATTATACAGTTAGATGTGTACATGTGTAGTTTTCAGTGGTTAGTGTTTATTCATTTTTATTTTTATTTAATAACCAAATATGCTGGAATATATATATAAGTATAATTTGACTTACTAATTGTTCAATAAAATTGTGATATGAGGCTAATAAGCAACATTCATTCTAATTGCTTATATGCCAACAGTATCGGATAGTAATAATAATAAACGCTTTCGGTTAGTCCTAGTGGTATGCTTATCTATGGCAACTGACGAAGAAGACATAACTAAGACAATTCAAAGACTCATGGAGGCGTTTTCTTACCGGAAGGCTTCATTCAAAAAAGTCATAATTGTCGGAATAAGCCAACTGCACTTTCTTGTTCATTGAATTGTAAAAGAAAGACATATGTAAAAAAAATGATAATTGAAGTGAACTGGGTAAATATATAACGGGAAGTGATGCTAATCCTATGAAATATCAAAATGGTGGTCTAAGTTGCCTAACGAATTACCACTTTTCGGTGTAGCATCTACATATCCTTGTGATTTATATATGTCCAAACGAAGTTCACTTTTAAAAGTTTGAAAAACATTTCGCCATTGGGTATATGATATTGATTATAATAAAGGTTTTTGTATTTCCTAATGAATGAAAAACAAACGATATTGTTTTTACTGACGTTTCGCTATTCAATGCTAATAGCTTTATCAAAGTATTATTGAACCAGAGTTTACAAAATCCCAGGTTATATATATAACAACTTAATCATCAATCCTGAACATGGCTTCATTTTCGCATTGTCAAGTTGGCCGATTGACAAAGATAACAAAACCAGGTGTAGATTGTTGGATTTGATAAGTGTATAAAATTATAAAAGCAGCGTGTGTTTACATAATGAAATCGCTTATCAAATTCTTGACGGAGGAACTGTTGTAACCAGGTCGAATTCCGTTTCAGTCCATCATTCGTATTCAGAGAATTTGCATTCCACTTGATATGAAACGCTTCTGAAATTAGACGTTCTTTGTGATTTCTGAAATTTTCCTGGATTATTTCATTATTGTCAGAGTCAATTTTGTGGTCTGATTCTCTAGCACGTAGACCTATGGATGATGATTTTTCAGGCTTTTCTAGTTCAACTAGATTTCTTCGTGGTCGAACAGATGCTCTACGGTGTTAATTTCTTCTGAATTTTGATTTCTCGAGATGTTTTTCCAATGTATATCGCGTCACATTCCAATCATTTTATTTTATAGACACAATTAGATAGAGAATCTTTAGGGATTTGGTCTTTTATATGGATAAGGTTGCTTTGCAGTGTGTCTGATGTTTTGAAGAGAACTCTGATGTCGTGCTTACTGAGTACTCTTCTGATATCGTCTGACATCTCTGCTCTCTATAGAGTGACAACTGTTGAGGACCATGTTTCCGGAATACGTTTTCGACTATACTTAATGTGAGTGTTGATTTTGTTGATGTTCTTCGGGTACTCATTTTGTTTGAGAGTCTCGGTAATGTTTGGTATTTCATTCATTGATAAATGCAAAAAACTTTTATGATCCTTGTGATTGTTTCTGGAAATCGGTTTTACCAGAGATTGAATGCATTCTACACTCTCTTCATTCGACTGGTTGCTTAGCTTGCCTTATTTCTGTTTGATCTCCTCGTATTGCCTTATAGTGTCCTGATACAATTGCTATTATTTGTTTGTTATACACTAATTACATAAATTCATATTCAACTTGTGAAAACAACTACTTACCGATGATATTTAACTAAGGTTGTAGTGTACCACGGACTGATAGCAATCAAAACAAATATATGTCAGTTACTAGATTTTGACTTGGTGGATAGATAATAAAATATTTACTCCGTTAGCTGAACTCAACAACTGGCTAAATTGCTCCTACACACTGATGAACAGCTGCCTACTGACCAACGATTAACACCTCTTTCAGACTGATTTGTGTTAGTGACCAGGTCTACTTCAATATTATGAACAGTATTAAGTTCATTTGTTCATCAGGAATTAATCGATGTACATCAAATCTATTCCCGAGCAGTAGGGTTATCAATGTGTGGCTTCCTATTCCTCACTGTTTAACACTGTAGACTAGGATACAGTAACTGTCAGGGTTATCTGATTCTCAGTTGTTTTACATATTCTAGAAAGGCTATTACCGAGCTGTTCAATTTTGGATCAAATATTTCACTTACAGTTAGATGCAAATTCACTCTTGACCACCGCCACTAAAGTCATCTAGTATTTCAAGTATGCATACTTCTTTAACTCTGTTAACCAATAGCCCTTCAAATTATTGTCTTTATTTCCATATAGTGTTACATCACTTACCTGGATCCTAATGAACGACTGCAACTTAATTCACTGGAACTAAAGGCGTATCAGCTAAATTCAATTTATCAATATCCGAATATAAAGAAAACAGAGAACATTGTGCGACGTTTCTCACGAATCCTACCACCACCACTGCCACAACCGTTATTTACAACAAATCAGAATCATTCCCAACTCCCTGTGACAGCAACACTGGAGACCAGCTGTCACATAAACAGAGAAATTTATTCACAGTTCCCTGTTATGTGGCTGGATGAAATTACTAAAGGCTATGATTTGGAGCTATTCGTCTTGTCTATAGAAATAGATTTACAAGGTCGTACTATGAAGTCACAATTGAAAAGAATGGATAAAATGCTACACCAAAATGTTATTGAGAAAACTGACATGTTGAACTATGGATGTTTTACAAGTCTAGTACCATATAATACACTGAAGTCTTACTTATCTGTCATCGAAGAAAATAATTTCATTGTAATCTGTGGACTGACTGGAACCGGAAAAACGCATCTGGTGAACAACCTGGCCAAAATTTTATCTTTTGAGTAGGTGAACTTTATGAATTGAGATTATTTTACATGAAGTTTTGTATTATTCTTCCATGAGTTGTACGGAAAATAATGGCGTCCAGATGAACACCAAGACTTCTACTCATACTGACATTAAAAAGGTGAAATCTAACGAAGTTACTTCAGTATTAATAGCACCAAGTCTTAGATGATCACCAGTTTCTGAAGTGTGTTATTTTTGACTGGATAGATCTAGGGATGATAATTCATTCAGAGGCGAATCTGTCGAACGAAGAAATCAAAGGTATTTGCAATATCGACTGAAGAACACATCGGTTAAACACTTAAATATAGCAATTGAACAAAAGTCAACTCAACTTCCATCACATAACAGTTGACTATACCATAAAGCCGATTGTGATAATACAAAACCGATGACCAGGATCTAAATTAGGAATGTTGTATTAAGACCTACCTAACTGATCGGTCCCAGTAGTCTATGGCTGATTCATAAATTGCTAATCTATGTTTAACCAAAAACTAAAACATTATTTCAGTATATCGATAAACATCTGTCAAGCAAAGTTGCTGAAAGTGTAGTATAATACAGGGTTTTTGTTCAATAACACCGTGGTATATGATTCATTGATAATATTATTATTTTCAAACTGTTTTTTTCTCGCTTAACCAGTTTAAATCTTCATACTTTTGTGGCTAACCAGAAAAATCTTTGTCCTGCTGAAAATCCTACCACAAAAACACATTTTTTTGTCAAAAATATAAAAAAGATGAATCACCCTGATTTTAGCTTCAAAGTGAATAATAACTTTTAAGACAACCATATTAAGTAACGTGTACAGCTTTTACTTAAAAAGTAGCACCAGTAATAAGTAACATTTTGTCATCAGTTTGCTGATGACTGTGATGAACATGGTGAAATTTCAGTTGACTTAGTCATTCAGTGTCATTTAGGAACACATTTGCTAGCTGAAATTCAGTTAGTCGTAGGTTTTCAATAACCGTACTTTAAAATATCTTCACTTGAAGGTTTGAAAGTATGTTTAAATATACATTTGTGTCGATCAGAGTGTCAGAGACTAAATAAAAATGTCTACATCAGAAACTAAACAATAAAGAAATCGTAAATAAGCAATTTTACAACAGAAGTAATTTTGACTACAAATGACAGAATGATAACACACAAAGAATCCTATCAGTATATATTGGGATGAAGTTTTCAATTAACTGACTTTATTTAATAGTCTCTTTTGATATTTAATAATCAGACTATTTGGATCGACAGAGTACGAACGATCTGATGAATGAACATCAAAGATGAAATGGAAATCTTAGCTGCCGTGGAATTCGAACTAACCGATTGTATATTACTGTCGTCCTACTCTGTACATTATACTGGGCCAGCTAATCGGTCTAATCTCAGATAATGCTTCACACATTTTTAACTAACAATAAGATTTGCTCTTTTATCTAAGCATAAGTTCACATTATCAAAATACATGGTCACTTTTAATTCTCTCTTGGTTATTGGTAATTTCTTTTGAAACTTCTTCATTGAAAGTGAGTATCGGAAAACTTCGTTTACTGTGCAGGCTTGTCCTTATTATTTCTTCCACCATTATTTGCTGTTTTTAGTCAAAACGTCATCTAAATACGCCTAATTATTTCTACTCCACACAGAGTGCAAGCCAATGTGGGATTACATATAACTGAGAAAAAATTACATGCCTACTGAGTAGAACGACTTGAACTCGCGAAACACGAAATGATTAAACCGTACTTAATAATTTTAGTCATCACAACTTTCTTTGTCGTTGGCTCGACCTCGTTCATTTACTCGATACTTTAAATATAATAGCTCCCTTTGTGTAAGAAAGAACTATCATCTTTTGTAAAATAAGAATTTGAAAAGCGATTTTGCTCGCTGAAGATAAACGTTCCTGTTGTTTTTGAAAACGTTAATATTTATCACCTACTGTAAGGATCTCAACATAAGTTCAATGGACGAAATGTTGAAGAAGTGTGGTGGGTTTAAAATATAAATATTAGGCCTTCCTTCTTAGGTATGTAGTGAAGTAAATGTTATGACATGCGGATAGGGATAAAAGTGTTAAGTCAAGCTATTTCTGCATATTTAGAAATGTGCATTACATAATTCATGAACTGCATCAGAGTGCTAAGACATCTGCATCGCTTGACATGACTAGTGTCTTGGAAGTAATGCATTAACTATCCTATTGTTTTAGACTATTTAAATACTTACCGATTTCTGTTGTATAATTCTTTTTCTAGTTCGTGTTATTCAAAGGCAATATACAACTTCCGGTTTACAAATAACAAAAGTCCAACTGTAAAGGAAATCAAAAAGCTACTCAGGAAACAGTTATCATCCTTTTCGAAATGTGGTTTCCCCAAAGTCATAAACTTATTTGATATGCATCTTTTCCAAGGATCCGTCTTGGATATTTTAAATGTTTTGAATGCCTCACCAAAAGGGTAAGCCATGTTACATATACGTGTGTAAGATAGACTGAAGAAACTCACTAATCAGTGTCTTTTTCCGGCTAATTAATTTCACTTTTATATGTCGTAGGATGAAGGGATAATAGGAGAACGTTTTGTGCATTTCGAGATACCAGCCTTCGTGAGACCTGTGTAAAGACCCAAGGAATCATTAGTGCCGGACTTTATAAAGTTATGCATAACTTAAGATCATCGAGTATCATAATATCTGAGGTAGGTCATTCCAGAACCAGACATACAACACAACGAAAACTTCAAAATCGATAATCGAATGTCACGATGATACATGTATGAAAAATAAGCCGCGTATAAAAAGAAAATATGTTACATCCATGACGCAGATGGAGATTGGATATTTTTGTCAGTATTACTTAGTCACAACTATATTTCTCAAGTGTCAAACAATCAAATTTTGCTGCTATGATTGGTCTTTAGGAGAAACAGATCGAACCAACAATAAATTTCTTCTTCTCAGTTTTACCTCTATGCAATCTAATACAGCGTATACTATCACTTGAGCGTCAGCCTATCAACTAGGTGTGGCGTGATGTTCCAAGTTACAGATTATATCTAGAATGGGTTGTCCATGTGTAGACTAACCATGCTCTTTTATGTTCCTTCGCAATAAATGTGACTCACAATCTCGTAGACGAAAAGTCTGCTTCCCTTTGAGTGAGGTTTAGGTAAATAGCTACCGAACTTTCTTTCTCTGTAGTGATTGAATTGGAATTCATGACTCAGTTGTCGTCCTACATCTGATACTTGTAGCGCGACCAAAGAATGTGGGATATTTTCACCAGTACTTTGTACATAAATTTTTCGAAATGATACTTCCTCTCAGAATTTCTAATGTTACAAGAGCGCAATGAGATAGAGAATGTATAAATAAACTCACCTACTAAATCAAACAGTTATTCCCTAATCGCCACAAATTATTTCGGTTGATACACTGACTATATCAGTCGCTTAAAAACGTCGATTTTCCACGTTAATTCTAAGTCTAATAATTGAGCACGTAAAAGGACAAACAACTGACAACAAAATGGCTGAAATGACTGGGAAATATTCACTTACAGACAGCACCGTTAGTGCAACATAAGCTACAGAACTAGTAATTAATTTAGTTAATTTAAAGCAGATCATATAGCAGTAAGAGATTAAACACATCTGACTTCTATCAGCTGTATTTTGATAAAATTTTGACTGCATTCATATGCTGATTACTACCAGTTACAGTAGTGCATCTGCTTACTTTCGAATTTCAGCTGGAAATTTAATGTTGTGATTTTGAGGATTTAATATCACCAGTGTACACCCATAACGGCATCCTTATTCACGCTGAGAACGCTCAGGCTATGTATGAGTCAAGCATGTTACCATTCAGTCACCGAGTTATAATTGAATGACACACAAATTCTGACTTATTGTAGTTAGCAGTATAACGCTACCACCATCCTCTGGTCGATCAGTATGTACACACACACACACTACTTAGTGGAGTCTGTCATTCACGGATCGTTGAATTTCTACCTACTTACTGATTGGTAAAGTGCATACCTTGTAGTCTAAACGTGATGGGGTAGTTCCCAAGTGACTATTAGGATGGACACTGAGGAAGAGTCTGAAGTTAGTGACAAACGTTTGTCGAATTCATGTTGGTCAGTGAAGGACCTTCCTTAAAACTATTTTAAACGTTCATTAGTTTGACATGAAATGTGTATTTGGAGTGTTAGGGAATCACTTACTTCGTGGAAATAAACATTAATGTTACTTTATAACTGATTAACTTCGCCAAACAAATACATAACCACTGTACAACTTTTCAATACGTATTTCCACTCCGTCTAGTTTACGGCTCTGATTCACTGCATAAGTTGACAAATATATATATATATATATATATATGAAAATGTCAGTTTACACTCGATTATCTGACATTTAATTTCCATTCAGGCTTGCTGTGGAATTCCATAATAATCAGAAAACTGCACAAACCTTCATAAGAATCATATTAAGCTACAGTATGTTTTTTATTTCCACTCAAGTGGTAGACATCTTAACTCAGTCATTCTTTAGCTTTAGTTACCTAAATCACGCATGGTGTATCAGTGAAAAGTTGGTTTTTAAGAAGTAAAAGACTATCAGACTATCTAGATGTGCTGTGAGTTCACCTGTGCTATAGGTCATGTTTTAGTTTTAATTTGTTTCTTGTCTAAATATTCCCTCCCCTGGTACCAAATTTACAGAAATATTTGAATATACATTGTCAACTGTAGAGATTTAAGCAACCTATTGACAGTGTGTAACAGACTTATGCCTTATAAGCACACATAATGTCGATCTCTACTCTTCTATATTCAAAATGAATACTTCACTTTTCACTCACTCTCCAGGAATCAGCTTTAATCATCTAGCTGCATGACATCACCATAGCATGAGCATCCTTCAGTTGACATCGGTACTAGAGAACAGTCCCTGTTTAACACATTAGGTGTCTGTCAGATTTAAGTGCATTCCATTAGGTGTACCACACAGGGTCTAGTTGACACAAAAGAATCCACTAACTGCTATTCGCTATGTGGTGGTGGAGGGGGGGAGGAAGCAAATGAATATTCCACCGGTGTAGAGCCAAGAATTCTACTTGGTATACAAATTTCATCAAATCTTTCCGGTTCCCTTATCAACTAGTTTGATTATCTAGATGATCTCTATGTTATAATGAATGCATTCCTTAAAGCCTGAGTAGCCAGTCAAACCAAACAAGGAGATGTTCACCAATTTCGACCGAAACTATCACCTCGAACAGACATTTCTCAGTAGAAACATGAGAATAAGAACAAACCTTTGAGTTTTGGATTTCGGATATTCTGTCTCTTCTCTCTCCTAAGGTGTGTACAACTTTTAATACTTATCACATGACATTATAAAAAGATGTTTGATGCACTGTTAGAGGTTCATAGTCTAGTAGTGAATACAAAACTGTTTGATATGAATGAAGTTGAATTAATATGTCACATTAAGATTTCACGAGTATTTATTAATCTTGTCATGGAAGAATTACTCATAACAAGGTTGTTTAGGGCAGTGGTTTGTCTAAGGTTAATTTTTTTGACAGCGTAACATTATGTCCACGGTTTAAAATCTGAGTATTTGAATAATCAACTTGAAATTGAACATTTCGTTTTCTACAATTCAGTCCAAAGATTATAGGTACACGTGAAAGTGCGGACAAAGATTTTGAGAACACTTGCCGCGTCAATCAGATAAAGTGAGTTCGCTGAATTCTTAAGTTAATGCAACTGTTTGTTGATGAAATTATTTATTTGATTTATTCAATAAAGTCAAGTTTGTTTTGCAAGTTTCCGTGTTATTCCAATCGACGGAAGCTTAAATGTCACACAAAATTCGGTGATTTAATCTACACTAACTGCTGTATAAAGAGGTATTTAAGCTGGTGAAGTCAGTCAGCTGAATTCTGATCGTTCACTTTATCATCACAGCCATCATGTAAACATGTTTATCTTAAATCCCGATGTGTTTCAGTGTTTCTGCAAACTAGATGAGTAGTACTAATGATAAATGAACTAAATATATCCAATAGAGTAAATAATATTATATTATTTCTGCTCAAATGATGACTATGGTCTACAGCGAATTTTGTCGCTAATTACACTTACTTGCTACAATAACAAATCCAGAGCAGTGTATGCACTCATATTCATATCACTATTGTTAGTTGGAAGTGGCTAATGAAATACACTGTATCTCTACACTAAGTGAATATAAAAGATTAGAAATAAACTGGGATTCGCAACTTGGATCAGTGTTTGCATAGTTACACCTACATCACTGTGCTTTCAACGTCTTCCGGTAAAACCAAGTGGACCTGTAAAATGAGTGGATCCCAATCACTGAACCGCCTTTCTCCTGCTATTAAGGTCAGGAGGCATATGTGTTGTTATGTGGAACCCATAGTTCACCTGATGGGAAAGTGTAACAAGACTAACATGATTACCCTTCAGATTAATCACAATGTCCATATATCCTAATCTCAGTCCCTTTCTACGTGTAAAACAATCTAGACCAATGTTCATAACACTTTCCTCTATGATTGCACAATATTTTAGTGAATCGCCGCTTATTTTGAAAACAGAACTTTTATATGAATCACTAGATAAAATGTTAAGTCTATAAGGAAAGTGACTGCTGAAAACAATCTGAAATTTTAGTTAGTTAGTTTCAAGGCATTCATGACATTCTCAGCTGTTACTCTCCACATTACAGTAAAAAGAGACCGATATACTTCTGTTATGCGTCGATGGCACAGTGGTTAGGACTCTCGCCGACCATGCACATGGTCGGGGTTCGAGCCGTCGCCGACGCACACCTGATATCTATGGTCGGCCTGCGAATTTCGGGCTGCAGATATCCACGCTGAAAATTCCATACTTGTACCAAAACTACGGTGTGGAATCAAGCTGTAATCAAAAATAAAAAAATAAAATAAATGTATCTTGGAACGTTTTCAAGATTTTCGGAATCTAAGGTTTCAGTCTGCATTTTTATATCGATTTGTAGTAAACTAACCAATCGCTTTATCAAGAAATCAGATTTTCTTCCGTTCATATTATTTCGTTTGACTTGAAGACAATGCATTTCATTTATTGATAATAATGGGTAACATTTTTAGCACTACATTTTGTGAAAACTAACTGATATTTCGACTTGTCTTTTACCTTTTTACAAATAATAGGATTATGCATCATTTGCCTGACATAAAGAGTACACAAGAATATTTAGAAAGAGTATTATACAGAAATCTCGCTCAAAGTCGAATGTTTTGTTCACATGGACTTACAAACGGAGATGTTACTGCCAGTGCAAATAAGGATCGGAAGTGTTATCAGTTGATTTTCTGGTTAACCGAGTTTTGGAAGAAATTAAATGAAATCCTGTGTTCTATAACTGACAGAAAACACTGTGCCATTTTCGGCGTTCAATCCACACTTAAGTGCCCCTGGATGATAATGCCTCATTACATTGGTTTCTTGACCTATGGAACAACATGCTGGTTCCAGTTTTATTTGAAAATATGAGATGTGTGACGAAAGAGAAGTCAAACAGTATATACAGCATATTATTGACTGATTTTATTGCATGGGTAAGTATTACATGGCCATGGGATAGAAACAATATCCACTTCCCTACCTCTTTGAAAAGTCCAAAAATAAGTTTAACCCAGAACCCATCGAGTACTCAGAACTTCCAGCCTATTCAGTCTCCCTCTGGTTCCCTGGATGCGGAAGTAGCCCAAAATCGAAGAAGCATGGATTCGAGAATTATTCTGGATGGGATGTACCCAGCAAGTGGTGGCAGTGGTGATGATGTAGAACAAATTTCACCAAATACAAACGATTATATACATGTGATCAGAACGCTATGCAGATTAGAATTAGAGTAGTCCATACAATATAACGATTTTGGACACTCAAAAATATTACTTTTTCTTTACGAACGTTCCTTTATAAGTATGACAATGAAATCTCCTGTTTAAAACAAAATATTTTGATGAACAATATGTAATACAAAGTGAAAAGTTTCTTTTTGTTTACAGAAATAAATGTTCAAGAATATCGAAAGTGCTCACTTCAGACATTTTAATGAATTCATATGCCAGGAAAATACATGTTTACTTCTCCTTGTGTAGCTAATTTCGAAATGAATTTAAGAATAAGGGCAAACTGAGGGACAACTAATAAACCTCTTATTCCAGCTCACGATTTCTAGACACTGTAGTCTGTCACCTATACAACACCACCGCCTAAAGAGATTAAAGTAAAATAGTTATCAGTTGCCTCTAGAAAGCCAAATATCACTGTCATAACATGAAGAATATTCGAAAAATGTGCAGCATCGGAGAGGCTCTTCTCAAAGCGCCTATGAAATTTACCAAACTCTCCGTGGAATGTACAAATCTTAGAAAGGGGAATCAAAGTAACATGACCAGTAAGCAATTAAAACTACGTAACAATGTGAAAATTTTGAAGGCTTAACACGACAAAATTTATGCTGGACTAAACGAATAAGGAATGACAAATGAGATGATACCGGAAATCGTTCAAAGTGAAAATAGTAAAGCTAATAGAGCTAACAAGGCTGCTATAACATGGGTACATAGATTAAATAAACAAAGGAAAAACAAATAGGCTCAAGGTAAAATGAAGATTATAATAGGTTAACCATAAAAGTAGAAGTGGTTGAAGATATTTCTTCACTATACAGAACTCAGACTTCTCCATTTCAACAGTCGAAGCCTCAGCAATACACATGAGACAGATACGTGATTATTTTGGCAGGTTATCATTCACCTTATAGATGACTTTAGAGGAAGAGATTATGCAGATTAGATGACTAGTGTCAACCAGATGTTCAATTATTGCGCTTCTTGTGGTGCCACTTTCACCTGTTCATAACCACACAGGATAGTGTTTCTGCACCCTTTTGAATAAATGAGTGTTGAACGACACACATATCTAGCTGCATAGGAGTAGGTCAACTAGTAGGCACTCACTGAGTTGGTCAACTAAGCGATCATGCTCTTCAGGTTATCGAACATTTATGATCAACGAGAAAACGCTACCCGTGATAATGCCTCAAGGAATCTCCTTTATAGTAACTATAAGATCCTTCTTTGGGGGATGTTGACGGTTAGTTTCCATTTGAATTCACAATTCACATGTAGCTCTTTCTTGGATACAGACGTCAAAAACATACTTCATAAGCTTTAATTGTATTTCTTCTATGTTAAACGTGGTGTATATCCATTTTCGGCTAGGACTGTTTTTTAACAGGCTCAACTCTTCCTCCACACCATCAGGACTACACATGCTGTGCTGCACGTGACTGAAAAATGATCGAATCACGTGTGGTTTTCGATAAATGAGGGTCGAGTTGTAGAAATCAGTCCGCTGATTATTTGGTGAAAAGGTTTCTTCGCCGAATACCTTGCTTGCATTTTCTACATGAATTTTCCATGAGGATTCGAAAAGCTGAAACCTGTCACGTTCTGTACCTTCAAGGATTTTACTAATATCATTGCTCAATAATTATGCTTACCTCCTTTTGTCAGCCCTTCTTCGAATTACCAGTTTACAAAATTCTGAATTGTCACTGTACTCTCCTGAAACTTTTGGAACTCGATGTAGTACAAATGACTTAGTTCTGCAAAGACGATATTGGTGGTTGAAATTCGACAACAACGAATCGCATATAAAGTATCTTAACAAATACACTTTAGTGGATTGAATATTTGCATCTTCAGGAAGCGTTAACCTAACATCACCATCAAGTATGAGACCGTCAGCTAACTTAATTTGACAGAGGCTAGAGTTCTGGTCTTGAACTGGAAGATTCTGCCATGTCTCTAGTTCGTTTTCAAATCTCACGAGATCAATCTAAAAGGGAGATATCATATGTTTATAACTAAAGACTCTAGATCTCGGAAAGCTGATGGATTCATGTATTCATTTTGTAAGGTATCATACTATCAATCACTTTCAGATGATACTTAGTCCAAAATGTTAATAATAGTAACAGAATTCCAAATGCAAGGTGTCATTATACTTAATCGATTTCTCAGCTGAGAAAAACCTGATAAAATCCGGTGATCAAGAAAAGTTAAACAAAATAGCATACTTTACATTTTCAGTCACCATGAGAGTTCGAAACACGAAATTACTGTGTAACACGTCTGAACATTTATAAGATAGTTTTTGGCATACTTCTATGACTGACTACTATAGAAAACTTAATCGACTGCACTTCAAATATTACAGAAGCAATCATGCATAATATTATGGTGACTTATAAAGTCTACGAAACAAATAGAGTTTAGTTATGAGGAAGCCACACTCAAGTGCTGGGGTTATAATGATTAATATGTTTGAACTCAGATGATGCTCAGATTTGAAAGTCTGGATAATGACCAGGCTGATGCATCACAACACCAAGTGACGAAACTCAAAAGACCCTGTAAGTTATATTGATTGGTACAAGGTTATGTGAAATTAAGATGTGCTTGTCTCACCTTTATGTAAAGTCAGGCGAAATTAAATAAGCCTAGTAAAGAGTTACATTTGTTCTCAAGTATAAACCTGGGATGAATTAGAAAATGGTCAGTCACGGATCTCTTGACAGTCAGTTACTTCAGTATCTTTCAAAAAGTGATGTTCTCATGTGACATAACCTGTCTATTTACATGTATGTCATTGGAAGAAATGGTCAATATCATCTGCCTCTAGCCGTTAGGTGTCACTATGACAAAGACAAAATTCCCAAAATTGCTGAATCTGTACACGTAGAATTTTCAAACTTCTTCTTGCCAATAGTAGAGGAGATACTCTACCAATGACAATCACAGGCCATCATCAGTGAGAAGAATCTAAGGAAAACTGTCGTCTCTTTCACTTATCTGGGCAGGATGGATGAGGATATCAAAGCCGTTCAGCGTAAGTATGGCAAGCAACATAAGCTTTTATTACTGTGATCTCCCGTGGAGATCTACAGCACTTAGAACCTGGGACGGAATGGGAATTTTGAACACCAATATCAGGCTAGTACTTCTATATGATTCAAAGACCTGGCGTGTCTTAACAAAGGCATTTACAACAGGCTGTGAACTTTCAGAAGCACATGTCCACTTCACTCTTGTGGCTCGCTACATAGGAGAGGTAAAAAATAAATTTGGAATTCAGCGGAAGAGCGAAAATCCTGTTGCCTAAAAATTTGCAGAAAATAGGGATGGACCATGCATACTCTAATGAGACTGTTCAGTAATATCACACGCCACATCCTCGACGGAAACCCAAATGAGAAGCGATGGGGTGGAAGTCTGAGGGTGACGTGGAAATCATGTGAAGAGCAGACGAAAGGTTGTAGACAGCCTCGATGTCAGCTGAAAACGACAGCAATATAGATGTGTGGATGGTAAAACGAACACCATCTTCTTAATTACACAGAAAATGACAGGTATTCATCACTCATCTGTATATTGTTACACTTATAAATATCACTAAGAATACATAGGGATAAGATAAACTCACCGTTAATATTTGAATACCCTTTTTAGTTGAGTTAGCTGGCTACTTTAAAACAAACCCAAATATATTTCACTCACTCCACTTCAAATCAACAGTTGAAAAATAGACAACAAAAATAACCATGATCTTAAATTTATGGAGCTGTCATTCTCCATGGTCCACTCGTGTTGCAAATTCGTACTCAGTAAGTTATTTGACAGATGTGTTGTTAGACAGAAGAGAACTGGTCTGAGATAGAACGGCGACAAACAAGTCGACTAGTATTTGGAAAATGTGAAAGTTGAACAGTTTATCAAACCACATTGGTTGATCAGTCAGCATACTTCTAGTGCTGATGACTTTTGTCAATGAACAGAAGGTCTGTGAAAGGGCTTGACCATGGCTTTAAAGAGGTTTCTAGTAAACTGGACGATTGCTCGGTGTATATTTAGTGAGATCATATACATATATACAGAAATATTGGGAGTGGTCAAACTTACGTCTGTGATTAAGTGTGATTATGAAAGTTATTCCTTCGTTTCTGCTCGTTTCTGTAGAAGGTAATTTCATGAAACAGTTTACAGAGACATTTTTGCATGAAACATGGACTGAGTAATATATGATTAGCACCTGTTATTTACCAATGAATAATAACATATGACTTACTTGTTAGGATTATTTCACTTCAATAGCACTAACTGTACAAGAAAAGAATTTGTAGATTTGTAAAGAAGTATGAAAGGATGAAGAAGAAACTGACTCATTTAGTGATCGCTCAGTAGCTGAACATACTCCTTCATTGATAACGTATCTCAATTTCCCCAAATCAACATGACACCTT